CTTTGTTTCAACTGTAGGGAGATTTCATACTTTCATAAGACAGCGTTATGCGTGATATCAAATATATAATGCGGTTGTATACTTTTACATTGCAACTGTGACAGTAAAGTCCCGGCCGAAGGCACGGGTTACACTAGTAAGAGTATACGTATGTATAACAATCACACTATTTTTAGTTCATGACGTAATCATTGTTATTACTGTTCACACCTTTCTCTCTCTTTCGTGACAGAATACTTCTAACCGTGTTTACCTTTTCTAGCAATGACAAGCAAAGAAGGATAACCGATTGGACTGGGGAGGAGTGGAACTTTGGCAGCACACTACCGTCCAATCGGTAAGTATTTATAATGTTTAGTTATTAGGTATTTATTTGGAATTGGTTTAATTTGGTTGTAAAGTTATTCTATTATGTAATAAAGTATTTTGTTTTACAGGTTTTGTACATACGACAAATACGGGTTTTATTGGTCAACTAGAGGCCACCTAACAGTGATAGCAGGAAGTCGGAAAACGTTCTACACAACGACCTGACAGTGGCACTTTGTTTGTGTGTTATTTAGACTACAATTTTAGAGACTAATTTGAGAGACAGTTTTAGGGTTTTTTGAGTCGAACTATAACTATGAGTCTTCGTGAGATACCAGTTTTAGACGACAGCGCTGACTACAGCACATGGAAGAAGAAAGTGCTAATATGGCAGCTTGGCACCGCAGCATCAACGAAACAGCAAGCTAGTAAGCTGATTATGAACATGAAAGGTAGACCACAGGAGGTTTCTATAAACACGACATTAAAGGTGCTAGGAGCAGAAGATGGAGTTGATAAACTCATTGCCGAACTGGACAAACTGTATAAGAAGGACAGTACCCAGTCTTTATTTAAGGCTGACCTTGGAAATACGGAATGATCGAGAGAGCTGGCAATACATAAAAACCTTTGTTCAGAGTAGATTTTGAAAAGTATCTTGATTGAGAAACAAGAAGGCAATCAAATGAATGTTTTGTGTCGTTAAATGTATGAGTCAAGAGCGTTGAGTCAAATAAAAGTCAATGTTTCTATTTTAGGAATTGTGAGTTTATTCAGCTTTATGTTTTGTAATTTGTTGTGTCGTGTTTTAAGTTTTTATCGCATTTTATTGTCGGATTCTATGATAATAAATATAGAAATGAGTCGAATATTTATTATAAGATCAATTATGTCTGTTTATAAGAAATAAGAGTGATATTCAGTATGTAAATTCAGTTCCATGATTCGTAGAATCGTGTTTTAGTCGTTTTTTACGAGTTAATTGCTGAGCAATGTCAGGAGTATTATATATTATTTCGTCTCGTCAGTTTTTATTTTAAGTTTGTATATTTCATTTTAATTTGCAAAAGAATGTGGTCGCAGGTAAACATAATAATATATCTGCGTATATAATATGTTTGTAGCTAATTTAGGTAGCTAATCTACTTTGCTGAGTTGTTCTTTTAGTATTTATCTCAAATTATTTACTCGTTTTATGGGGACGCTTTTAGTTTTTGAGCTAGATATTATAACATCTCGGTGAGTTTTTTTGAGAAGAAAGGAATCTCTCTATTGCTAGTAATTTTGAGCTCGTAGGTGTAGAAAGTACTTATAGTGTTAGCATTTGAAAATGCGCGCGCGCGTGGCATTTATATTTTAGCGGGGTTTTGAAGAAATTTTAATATGACTTGTTATGTTTTTCTCTGTAATAAGTTCTGAACAGTTTCGTCTCGATAGGTCACTCAAGGTGATAATCTGAAGACATCTGCTCCAACGGGGTTGTTGAGCGAAAATACAGGGACGATTTTAATATTCGGCAGTTTCGTCTTGATAGGTCACTGCGGGTGATAATCTAAAGACAGCTGCAGCTCCAACGGGGTTGTTGAGCGAAAATACAGGGACGATTTTAATATTCGGCAGTTTCGTCTTGATAGGTCACTGCGGGTGATAATCTAAAGACAGCTGCAGCTCCAACGGGGTTTGTTGAGCGTATTTGTGGGTACAAGTTTATTGTTTGGTAGATTTGTCCAGATAGGTCACTGCGGGTGATAATCTGAAGACAGCTGTAGCTCCAACAGGGTTGTTGAGCGTATTTGTGGGTACAAGTTTATTGTTTGGTAGATTTGTCCAGATAGGTCACTGCGGGTGATAATCTGAAGACAGCTGTAGCTCCAACAGGGTTGTTGAGCGTATTTGTGGGTACAAGTTTATTGTTTGGTAGATTTGTCCAGATAGGTCACTGCGGGTGATAATCTGAAGACAGCTGTAGCTCCAACAGGGTTGTTGAGCGTATTTAATTATTTGATGGATTCGTCCAGATAGGTCACTGCGGGTGATAATCTGAAGACAGCTATAACCCAAACGGGGTTGTTGACTGTATTTAATTATTTAATGGATTCGTCCAGATAGGTCACTGCGGGTGATAATCTGAAGACAGCTATAACTCAAACGGGGTTGTTGACTGTATTTTAATTATTTAATGGATCCGTCCAGATAGGTCACTGCGGGTGATAATCTGAAGACAGCTATAACTCAAACGGGGTTGTTGACTGTATTTTAATTATTTAATGGATCCGTCCAGATAGGTCACTGCGGGTGATAATCTGAAGACAGCTATAACTCAAACGGGGTTGTTGACTGTATTTTAATTATTTAATGGATTCGTCCAGATAGGTCACTGCGGGTGATAATCTGACGACAGCTGTAGCTCAGACGGGATCTTCGAGCGTAATTTTGTGTAATTTAATAGTGCAATCTTGAGAGAAATTGGGGCTAGCATTGCTGGAAAAGGAAAACTGGGGAATGTTATTACTGTTCACACCTTTCTCTCTCTTTCGTGACAGAATACTTCTAACCGTGTTTACCTTTTCTAGCAATGACAAGCAAAGAAGGATAACCGATTGGACTGGGGAGGAGTGGAACTTTGGCAGCACACTACCGTCCAATCGGTAAGTATTTATAATGTTTAGTTATTAGGTATTTATTTGGAATTGGTTTAATTTGGTTGTAAAGTTATTCTATTATGTAATAAAGTATTTTGTTTTACAGGTTTTGTACATACGACAAATACGGGTTTTATTGGTCAACTAGAGGCCATCTAACAATCATGGCGTGGGTACCGCGGTGCCGATATTGCACGCTGACCTTGCCAAGCCAAGCTGTGGTAGAGATAACAATTTGAACAGAGGGTCAAATACAGATAAGGAAAGTAAACATACGATATCCATCCCGCATCCGCTTACTCTTCCTGTTTGTTATTGGTCGGATCGGTGTCACGTGACATAACACCTCTATTACTATTGGTCGCTCGTTAAGGATCACGGAGCACATCAGGGCTGCCAGTCGTCAGAATAAATTTAATTCAGCTGTTAGTATGATTGTTATATTATTGTGGTGTTCGTAACCTACCTTCATTGTGTTTCTTTTGACTTTGTTAATATCATGCTCTGCTCTGGAAATTGTGATAGTGCCTGTTCAATTTGTTAAGGATACGATCTCCTTGATGTTATGTTGCAGGATCAGAATGTTCGTGAGGAACAGTCACCAAAAGTGAGTTGCTTACATGCTGTGTTTTTGTACTCTGGTCTTCACTCAAGTTGCAAAGCTGCAATAAACGTATCGCAAAGAACATTTCTATCTGAAAATTGTGTTAGTACCAGTTTGATCAGTTAAGGTGAGGATTGCCTCGATCTTTCGGTTTCAGCTTAACTCCTTAGGTCATGAGTAGAACCGAAGGATCAAAATATATGTTGCTTGTTGCTCGTATTAACTATAAAACATCAATTTTGAGGGATAAGGAAGTGTTTATAGGTTCTGAAACCTAGCTAAATCGATTTTTCGTGCAATTTTAGGTCAGAAACAGTCATCAAAATGAGTTAATAAGAAGGTTGATTTCTCGGTTATTTTTGAGCTTTCGTTCAGAAAATAATTCGGGGTCCTCAAAGGGGGGTAACAAGAAGGCGTTACAAGTGTTACAAACCTTCTATAATACAAAATATGTATCACCTCCTCAGCCTGCTTAACATGTGCTCGACCTAAAATGTAAACAAACAATTATCACCTCCTCAGCCTGCTTAACATGTGCTCACTATTAATGTAAACAAACAATTATCACCTCCCCGCCAGTATCCACATCTATATATATAATGATTAATTGAATTTTCAAATAAAAAATAAGAGACTAATTCATTCTGTAATCATTGTTTTTAACATATTTACGATTTCATATCATTTTTTGTGACAATGTAAACATCAACTGATCTTAACTTGCATCAATTACATTGTCATCATGTAAAGTTTTCCCGCCTTTCAAACCAAAATCAGATATAAATAATTCGCCCAAAATTTAAAATTCCATATATTGTGACAGAATTAACCCTCATTTCCCAATAACCAAGTGCCTATTCGGAACAAAATATTTTAGGGCTATGATTGGTAGATCAACCATCAAATAATGAGTTAAAAGGTTTTTGAGGACACCTCACAGTAGAATAGAGGTATGCCGTATGGTATTCTGAGTGTGACAAAGTTACCCAAATATTGCCTTGTAACCGTTCGATCCTTGCCCTTTAACCAATGTTGTATCATAATTGTTAGATTGACCTAATCTACTATATTTCAGACCAAGGAATGATAATTAGACAACTGCAGTTAACTAAGTCACACAAAATGTGACATTTGAACCATTATAGTGCCTAACAACAATAGATTTTCTTTCTGAGCAGTGCATATGGGAGTATGGGTTACGTGGCTAATGTTCAGAACTTCTGAACGTGCTAGGTTAATATATGTCAAAATTAAGCCACTATCGTCGAAATCGCTATCATTTATGTTTACCAATATCCTCAAACTCAAATGAACGTGTCCATAAATTGAATAAGGATTTTCACAACAAATCAGCTGTACATACTATTGAATATTGCATATTAGGATGTAAAAGTTTTAATACATAATATATAATATAATACACGTTAAAAAGATAATTCTATTACAGGTAAAGCTGAGAGGGAGAGACTAGAGGAGGGGAGAGAAGCAGCTAAATCAGTGGCGTAACGAAGGGCTTGCTTACCCCGTCGTTTGAATGTAGGACAATTCTGAACAACTTACTTTAAGTACTAGCAAAATTGTGAAAACTGGCCACGGGCCTAAATATTACATATCAATCAATTACAATTCATTATTACCTGAGGACCCCAGGCTATTATGTTCATTAACATAGCCTGGTGAGACTGAACCCTCTAATACGCGCAAGTCTCTCTAAAACGGCGCGTTTTTGCGCGTGGAATGCTGAGCGCGCAAATATATGTTTTGTAATGTAATAATCTCATATCTGAAGACCGTTCATACGTTTTTTGAAGAAGTACGTGACAGTGGCAACAAGAGAAATGTAAGTTCTAGGTGCAGTAGCGTGATACTTCATGAAGGTTCTCCTCATGTCCTTTGGTCAATTGCAATTCCGAACTTTGACGGATCAAAGGTTTCATGATTATATAACTATTATTAATTAATGAATATGATCACATAACAACTCGCCTAAATTCCACACAAAACGCGACCGATGTAATTCCACCATATATTATATATGGTATATCAATTGTGTTAAAAGCCAGAGGTCTACAGGTTGAGGTAAATATAATAAAGTGATTGACATTTCACAAAATGTTAACTTTAATAATCTAATAATTTGATTACATACATCAAAGAGAACAGTACATGATGGACTCATTCGTAAACAGTAAACTATTGACATGACAAATAGATTGACGGGAGTGCTATGGCCTGGCTTTGTGTTCTTAAACACAGTTGTCATATTAATACTTTAATATGAGACTTGAGTTTTAGTAAATATAATTCAATTGATACGTTTATGAGAATTTGAAACGGGGTCCCCAGGTAATAAGACTCAATCGAATAGATATTGAAAAGATTTCGAAACCCAGTATTATCATACCTCTTACTGGGCGGCGCTTAGTCTGTCATTCCGCGAATCTCTATTCGGCGGAACATTATAGCCTGCGGTCCCCAGGTAACATACCTCATGCAGGTCCATGCATTTTCGTATAATAAAGAATGAAATTTACCGCGGACCACCGTACTGAGTTTCTACTGAACAAGGTCTACACTAAACAGTAAACAATAAACATGCGATCAAGATGTTTAATCACTCACACTCGACAACACGTAGGATACTTTAACACGTACTTCAAGTGACTATTTAAAAATCCAACCCCAAACTAGAGTGTAGGACTAAAGCGTATGTTGAAAACCCGTACGAGAAACTAGACCAACATCCTTATTACTATATTTGTCATAACCCCTGGTCATAAAACCAAAACATATCAGAATAATTTTTCATCAATTAGGCTTATTTGACGTTCATAAAGCCTCAATAACATTAACAACCGACACAAGTTTTCAAGTTCCAACTTGAATTGCTTCAAGAGTTTGTTGGCCTATTCTTGCTGCAAGGAGATTTCTTCGCTCTAAAGGTATGTCTTGAGGACTGTCGTGATGATGGCTAATACTCTGTCCCACACTCTTGTACTTCTGAAGACTCTGTAAGTGTAACAAACGGGTGTCGGCGGAGGCTGCAGATTCAAGGAAAGGAGCGTTGAACCAAGCTCTTAAGTAAACGAAGACAACAACGTGAGCCATCTTCTGCACGTCTCTCTTCTTCGTCCAGTGAAGTGTTATCTAGTGAAGTAGAATCATTTCATATGTATATGGACTTAGCCATCCATCTGACATGGTGGTCAGCTCCAGGTCTTTGTATCTGGAAGACGCATCCTTTCTTCATCTCTATGCTTTCTCCATGGATAAGTTTAGCTCTAGTAATTCCTTTTATTCTCCTGGGCTGGTTGTTGAGTTGACGGATTTGAGTAATGAAGGATAGAAGATCTTCCGTTCCTGTAGCAAGTAGGGATATCGGGAAAGACGATGTTCTGCAGATTGAGATCTCCCAGGAGGTCTTCATGATCTTAAAAAGGGTTACTTCAAGTGATGTTGTGTCACCGAACAGTTTGCTTAGAGGCAGACCTCTTACAAGATCCGCCTCAAGGACGTGATGTCTGCAAGCCATCAAGAGGATCTGTCGATTGAGGAGCGGCTGAAAAGTAGGACATGCTCCTTTGTGGACTCCAGTATTTTATGATGTCGTATCAAATTCATCGGCTATTATTTTATCTGCTAGGCTTCGGTCGTCGAATCTTCTTCACTTTTCTCTGCCTCTTGCTAGTTCCTGTAGAGTCACTTGTCTTACAGATTGCAAGTATGTTTACTTTCCTAAATCATCCGAGGTCTGCTAGAAGTTTTCTGTCGAAATTTATCTGTTTGACATTGGAGGAAAAGTCTCCTTTGATCTTTGCTGCTTGCTCTGATCGGACTGAGGCTCTGTGACAACGTGCAGTGGACTTTAAGAGGGATTAACAGCTTCATATCCCCGTGTCTCCACCGAGCAGTGAGATGCAGTGTCTCCTCAAACCGTCACTGAGGGAAAAAAATAAGATTCTACGTGTGAAAATGAGAGAAAATGTCCAACTTCTATCATGAAATACCGGCTGCCAGACTTTGGGGCCGGAGTGATATGATCCACCATATACGTCATCAAGTAATTAACATGCAAGCTTGAAGCTTGTGGCGTATAATTAGGTGATGTGATCCATGGATTTGAACCCCCCCCCCCCCCCCCCCCCCCCCCCCCCCCCTTTAGCAAGAGCTTCCGTCCTTTATGTGATCTACGAGTCGAGAAGTCAGATCATGTTGACTTCTTAATGTACAGCTATGATTTATAGAAATGACATGTGAACTCTACCCAGATCTAGCCCATTTCTATGTCAATTAAATTCAATCCATGGATCACATCACTAATTATACGTCACTAATTGGTGACGTGATCTGACCCCTCTTTGGGGGCCGGATCAGTTCCGGTCCCAAAGTCTCCCGTGGAAATACCAAGGAGACGACAGTAAATTATTAACAAAGCTGATTTATTTTTAATTAAAGATGACCATGCAAAAAGGGCTTTTAATTTTAACAACCAGGATTTAAGCCAGGCAGGATAGCTTTTAATAGTGAATACCTGATTTCGAGAGAAACAACTGCAGCCAAGACCGATATCAAGACGAAGGAACTCCGCCAAATTTCTGGCCAAAAATATAGCGTCTTTGTTTATTGCAGATCCCCTCCTGAAAAGAATAAGTGTTCGTTTAGAATCTATATAAAAACCCATTCATTGGGCTAATAGCATCGATCGGAACTTTAATAACTGTAATGATATCCCAGTTATTTTTTACTGATCTTCTTTGTAAGACTTATCAGAACTTGGGGATAGGGCAAATGAGATTAATAATTCATTGTTTGTGACAGAATAAGCCTATATAATATTTATACTCAGACTTCTCTGACATACGCTGCGACAATCTGGCTCAATGGTGTGTCCCAAAATAAAAAGCATAATTGAACAATCCTAACAGCGGAGAAACTGATAATCTTAACAGGAGATAAAAAAGTGAGACATTAGTCAGTCTGAGAGCAGAATGAGGAAACCGTTACAAGTACCCGTGCTATCAACTCAGGTCTGCCTTTTCAGATTTGATGACCATCCTACTACTCACTAAATCGGTATCTCAGCAACGCACCGAAGATTACCTGCCATGATTATTGAGTCTAGAAAACTCTATTCACAGGTTTAGTCAGGTAGTGGCTTACCATTCTGATGACATCTCTTTTTGGAGGTTTTCCGACTCTCAGACCACCTAGTTGAGTGTGTACCACAAACTCTGCACCATGCCCAAAAGTCCGGAAGCCCTGGACCTATTGTGACAAGCCTGCCCCTGAACAAAAACAAATCCTAAGCAGCGTACAGCAGCTAGAGAATATTCTCATAGGGGGGGGGGGGGGGGGGGGAACGTAGAATAAAAGTAGAATAAAGTAGAATAAAGTAGAGTAGAATTCTACGGTTGCCCCCCCCCCCCTCTCATAACAGGAGGGTTACCATCGACTTCTGAGTTCTGGAATCTGGACCAGCTCTGGTCAGTGGGCATAAGTTGGGTCTTTATACAACGTCGTGTCTTATTTTAGAGGGTTGTTGCTTTGCAGATGGCATACTGTGGCGAAGATATTATAGTATTATATCGCGGTCATATGAGAAACCAGAATTCTCATTTTTTTCAGGACAATGTAATGCGATTGAATTATTTCGATTGGGCACTCAGTGACTGAGCTATTAGGACTTTTGCCCCCTCCCCCCTGTATATTTATCCTTGCTTGGCGACACAAAATTACACCGAGACTGAAAATATCAGACTGACTTATAAGTTGTTACCAGCAACTTTCGATTGAGGCGATATTAATTTGGGCCGGGGTTCAAAGCTTTACTGTACATACATCTTCAAGGGGAACAACTAGTCTTTCAGTTTCGAATAGTTATTTAATTGCGTAACTGAAGGAAAGATCACTTTACCGTATGCACTTGAAAATTCACGTAACTTATAACTTAGGAACATATCGAAGTTCCGGTGTCGTGTAGAGTGATTTATATCTATTGTGTCAGAATAAAGCTGGCAGACGTGCCAGTACATTATACCAAATTCTAAACACTATAATTACAGTTGAATAGAATGTATGATGTTCAGAGCTGCGTATAAGTGTCATCTTAGAATATATGCTATAATTCTGGTTTATTACAGTAGCTGGCTATTTTGCCGAAAAGATTACAGATTTCAGTAACACACTAACCATGTAAATATGCCTGTTTAGAGAGATTTTCTCAAAACCCGTCTCAAATACCAAAGGCAAAACTATTAGTAGCACCCATTAGCTTTAAACACCCATCTGGGGATAGCACTAATTTATATAATATTATAATATCGAGCAGAAGGCTCAAGGCGGGAGGGGGTTATGTTGTTTTTGCTCACAACATCAGTTATCAGTATGATACGATTCTACGCCTATCGAGAACTGAGATATGGACAGTATGGCGGAGATTCTTGAAAAACCGCCAACTTTAACAAACTAAGGTTTAACTTATAATAGCTTTGCTCGGACATCAAAGCCGCACTAAGTCAAGTATCATTATGGAACCGGATTTAAAGCGAATAGAATCCCACATTTCGCCTTTTAACAAACAAATAGCATTAATAAGAGCTATTGGTCGATGTTTGCTTCTTCTTAGTAAAATCCCTCACTTTCAAATAGTCCTTAAACCTTGGTGAGCTAAACAAAACACTAGGGACATATGATGTACGCCTAATCTTCAACTCAAAAGTCACAGTAAACTATTGGGACCAGAATACAGTAGTTTATTTATCTGACCCGTAAGGCGTAACACCAAAAGCGGTTCATCCCAGTTTATTGACTAACCAATTTGTCCGTTTCGCAAGGTATAGTATAGTACTTTTACTTTCACACTCTCTCACACTCTATGTTCACTAAATAAGTAAGATTATACGTCACGTACAGTACGTGATCACGTTATGATTGTTAAACCGAGACGATACGTCATAATCATATTAAAAGGAACTGCGGTGCGCGCGCTTAACGTACCTCGAAAAATGTTTGAGCGTGGGTCCTTTTTTTATCTAAAGGTGACATATTTGCTAGTTTTTTAGAAAATTAACCATAATTTGTCCCGTTAATCGTCACTACTTATTACTAAGAGGTGTCACGTCACTAAAAAAATTTATTACAAATACACTGCTTGCTTGATTCAGGGGATACTGTTATTATACAGTCTGCGGACAACTGTCCGCGGACAGTGGTCGGGCTATCTCGATACTGCCCATTCTCGGAAGTTTTAAACATTTGTGTTAGGTACTATAACTGTTCAAAACGCCCAGTTTGAAAAACTTAATTACTTAGCTTCCCTAATCGGTATTCCTTGGTCTACATTATTGTACTAGATTGGATAAATATTACAATTAAAATGACCTTCGGACGTTATAATATCTCGTAATACCCCTGGTTTCTCACCATGATAAACGCCAACCAACAAAATATCAATTTTTCTATTGTTCACCAACCTTCGTTTTGGAGAGTTAAGAACACGCTCCTTGCATCTTCTGAAGTTGTGGTGTTGTGCCCTGCGGAATGGGATTATGATAACAACACAAATTAGGAATATTTTGGAGTGTATCGTATCAGCACATTAATGTAAACTAAATTTTTTAGATTGCAGTAATTGTATCCATCTGTTGTTATTACACATTTATTGATAAATATATTATATAGCCAGATTTCTCTGCTTTAACATTAGAAAGAAACTAGAGCATATGTGACACTTTCTGTAATGTTGCATCAGTTGATGAGAATCTCGCAAAATCCTGTTATAGCAGGATTTCTTTAATTAATATCCCGGGAAAGCTAGACATAGTACCACTGGTGTCCTTACTTGAGAATGAAGCAGAAGAGTGTCCCAGGGTGATAATCTTCGAAAAACTCGTTGGTTGACTGCGGATATAGATATTTAGAATTCATGCAGGTAAAAATGGTTATTTGCCAGCATATATACAATTAATATGATTGATTGTGCACATACTTAAATAATTCATTTTATGGCCACATGTTTAGCTTATATGGGATATAATATTGAAGACTGACATACCATTTAACTTGTTCATACTTAAACTTGTTAAACTGTTGTTTAAAAATTTCTTTTTGTGCCGGGTTATCAGCATTTAAAACCATCTACCGACTTAACTAAAGTTAACTGTGTACGGAACTCATTATTTACCAATTACCAGTGACATTTTCTTAATTTCAGGCACTCAAAAAGGATCCGCAGGAAAATTAGTCTTGTTGAAGTATTTCACTCCAGATACCAGACAGTAAACAGGAAGAAATAGCGGCTGATCTAATGAATATCAATGGGCGTATCAAATTCGTCATAGCTACAAGTGCCTTATCTATGGGATTTGATGCAGCAGGTATGTACTATGTTTGGCACCAAGTATATCGAAGGACTATTTTAAACACCTTTAAACAGTCTATTTCAAACAAATGGATTCTCTGTGTTAAACACGGTTAATAGTAAATTTGATAAAAATGTATATTCTTTAGGGATCCAATACGTCATCCATTCGAAAATGGCTCGTACGGCAGAGGATTTCATCCAGATGATTGGTGGGTAATGTGAAACAATTAAGTTATTTGTAATAATTTTATAGAGCGCTCTGCACATATACCTCTATTAAAGGTTTAACGAGCTTAATTGTCTTAAACGTTGCTTTTTAATCTCAGGTCGGGCTGGGAGAAGTGCAAATCTAAAGGCGATATGTATTGTATTTACGCACAACAAGACCAGGGATATGGACGGAGAGTGTCTTATGTACCGCGACCAGAATGGAACTTGCCGTAGGATAATACTTTCTGGTACCTTTAAAGGTAAACAGCTCCACGTAGTCCTACAATTGAAAAAGTAATTCAATATCCTTTAATTAGTTGGCAAATACTTTAAGTTCTCCAACGGCATTTGAAATCACAAATTTTAGCCATTTCAATGCGATGACATAAATGTCATCAGGAGTACTCAAGCTGCATGACAACGTTTATAACGATTACTTGCTGCGATGTTGCAGACCTTCCAAGACCCCACTCATTCAAAGACTCCGGGAACGGAATAACAAGCAGAGGAGGTCGGATGTAGACATGCGTGAGTACTGAGTACTTAGTACCGAATGTTTTTAAATCACCATGTAATATTTGTAACGTTCATGCCTAAACTGTGCTTTTTTGCTTTTATCGAAAAGTAATGATAACAACAACAACAATTTAACTTTGTGCTCCTGCGAGTGGTGAAGAATCAGCAATATCAGTCATAATATTTCCAGAACCTAGGACGCACAGTGACGAAAGAAGATAGGGAGTTCTTTGCAAAAGCGTTAGCATGCCAGCTGACGTCCTATAGTGACAACAGACCCTTTCTGGACTGTGAACTCACGGAAGGAGTCATTAAACTTCTCACAAATGAATGCGGACATATTTTAATTTGGAAGATATTGAAGGAATCGTGCCAGGACTGAGTGACAGGGTGAAGAGGGACATACTAGTTATAACTAACGATATATTTTAAGTAACCTCGTCTCAATTTTCGTTTATCGCAAAATAGCGGAGACCTAATCATGAGTCAACCGGTGAATTACACATTTGTTTGGATAAATTATAAATCATATGTTCAAATTGAATGTATACTTACTTAATGGTAATTTAATTAAATAAGACATTATGGAGAAACTATTTAGATTGAGGATTTTAGATTAAGTTCAAATAATATATTAAATCTTGTATGCTCAAATACGTTGAGCCCAAATTCTGCACAGTACGTTTTTTACAGTTTTATTAAAGTCTATTTCTGGCAACAGGGGTATGGATCCTTTGTTTACCTTTGATACATTTTCAGTTCGGTCCATAAATTAAAACTTGATTACTACCTTGAGTTAACATATTTGTGTAATGTATAGTGTATACTGCACTGTATATTATATAAATATTAATACAATTGATTAATATAGAAGATTTCAATAGAAAAAAGGTTCAGGTATTTAAATAAGAAAGAAATGTGTTATAATTCTTAAATTGGGTTAAAATTATAAAATTACATAGTGTTGGCCCAGAAAGCGGAGTTTTTCTAAAAAGGGCTTTTTTGGGGTTGTCTTGGTTACTTTTTTATTGTTGAACGAATTCAGCTGAAATAAAAAGGGGGTTTTAAACTGAGTAGAATTAATAATGCGTTGATAAAGACTTTTGATAATTTTGAAAAAACCTAAATTTTTCCACTGTAAAAATATCCCAAAAAAAAAAATACATTTTGAGGGAGGGAAAATCCCCGTCGAACCATAGAAAATACAGTTATTTCCATCTGCAAAGTACAGAAAAATTTTTAAAAACACGGGGGAAAGCAAATTGGGGCCCAACGTTTTCCCAAACTGTTTTTTGGGCCCCCGCCCTTTTTTTTTTAAGTCATCAAGTACCAACTCACGAAAAAAAACGCGACTAAATGATCACAATTTTTTTTAACATAAATGTGGACACCTTTTTCCCCCGGGAATTTAAGTTGTTGAATGTAGGGGGGCAGTTTTAAAACCCCCCCAAAAAATATTGCGTTAAATAATTTTTAATTTTACATTATAGGGACACCCCTTTGGGTTTTAAAGCGGTTTAGTTTGTATGTTTTTGTTAAATTCCCTTTTATGAAAGATTTTCCCACCCCTTTTTCCCGTTTAGTCTGAAATATGGCAAAGGGGAGGGTTATTTGGAGAATTACCCAAATTATTATTTATGAAAGGGAAAAGGGTTGGCCCAGGGGTTCCCAAAGTTGGGCTGGGGTTTAGTTGTTAGAGGGTTTACAACGTTTTTTGGGAATCAAGTTCATTTTTATTCATTTGGGTTCCCTTTTTCCATAAAACCCGGGGGGATTTTTTGGCCCACTTCTGAGGGACTAAACATGTTAGTTCACTTCCCCATTCCCCCTCTCCCATAACAAAATAAATTTTTTAAAGGTCAGCCCCAGGATAACTACTGCCCCAAAAGGGGGGTTTGTTCCAAATTTGTCTAAACCCTTTCCCAAAATTCAACTCTCTGAAACCAAAATGGGAAAAGGGCCCCTTTAGAGCCCTTTCTGAGCATGTTTGAGCCCCCCAAACTTTTCAGGATTTCTAGAAATCTTTTCCCAATGGGGTTTTCGATTGTTTTTCAATCTTTGGGGCGATTTTAGGGAAAGTTCAATTTTTTGTTCTTTTTCGTTCATTTCATGAACAGGGGATCTTTTGGGCATTTTTCTGATCAGGGGACTAAACCCATGTTATTTCCCATGCCCCCTTTTTCCCAGATAAATTTTTAAAATTTCAGTCCGGGGATAATTTCTCCCCCAAAAAGCCGGGCCCCCAAATTTGTATCAATTTCTTGTTTTTTTACGTTCCAAAATTTCGGATTCATGAACTCTTAGGTTTACTATTCTGTGTGTGTGTGTGTGACTGTGAGTGTAACCCCCTTAATTAGCCCTTTGCTTCGATTTTAAGCACGGTTAGGCCCCGCGCACGTGTTGCGGTGGGGTTTTAAATGGGCCCCAGTAACCCTCAGGCTGGGTTTGGGGCCCAAACCCCTTTTTTTCAAACCCAAAGTCTTTGTTTAAAGATAATTATAGCCCGGGGTTTGCCTTTTTTTGGGGAAACAAGGGAAGGTTTTTTTGGAAACGGGGGGGAAAATTTGGGTTTTATGTGTGGGGTAAAGGGGCCCTTTTTAAACTTGTAGGGGGGAGAATTTTTTGTTATTTGGGTAACCCATTAATCTGCCGTCCCCAAAATTTTAAAAGGGTTGGAACAATTTTTCCCCCCAATTTAACATGTTACCCGATTAAGGGGTTTAAACTTTTGCTAAGGGTTTGGTCCCCGTTCCCTGATTTTTAAAGCCGCTCTTTAATTACTATCGTAATTTGACCCGGGGGAAAAAAACTAAATTTAACAAATGGCAATAATATTTTAAAGATTTTAAAATTTTCAAAAAATTTGAGCTTGGGGGGGTTTTAATTTAAAAAAAGCTATAAAAAAAAGTGAATTTTTTTTTAAAAGAAAGTACTTAATTTAAAAATAAAAATTTTAAAAAACCCCCTTTTTCTATAAGTTAATTAATATGAAAATCGGTTTGAGCTTTGAGAAATGAGAAGTGAAGAAAATCTTCCCTCTTGCCGATGAACTTATGAAACAAAAATCGAGTTTTTGAATTAATTTTTTCGATTTATCGATCCGGCCCTCCCAATAAAATTAAATTTTTCTATCTAAATTATCGGTTAAGGTTTTTAAAAAAAAACTGTCGAAATTTTAAAAATATTTCATGATAAAACATGGGTCAGGGTGACTAATTTTGTTTTTTCTAGCCGCCACATTAAAAAAAATACTTAATATTTTTCATGGGAAACTTTTAAAAAAAATAAAATTTTAAAATTCGCATTTAAAAAACGGGAAAAAATTTTTTTTTTAGTATTATATTATATCGCTTAAAAAAAAATTTAATCTGAAAATTAAAAAAATACGTTTAGAGTCAATTTCTTACCTTTTAGCGAGTCCTTTGAAAAATTTCGGAAGCAATCAATTCGAAGGGGAGGGAAAGGAATTCAGCTAAAAAAGAAAAAAGAGTTAAACTAAGTAGAATAATTTTGCGCGCTGCGTTGATTTAAAGAGTTGTACCCTTAAAAAACCCGATAGTTCCAAATGTGGGAAATATGCAAAAACCATAAATTTTTGAAAACGGAATTTTCGTTCGAACCATTTTCCAAAGGTTAAAAAAAAGTTATATGGGATTTCATTTGCAAAGCTACAGTTCTCCCAAAAGAAAACACGGGGAGCAATTTAGGAAAAATTCCCCCCTGACTTTTGGACCCCTAAACCCCCATAAGTATTAAAATACCAAATCACGATAAATTATTTTCATATAGCAAGGAAGGCTATGTAATTTACCTAAAAAAAAATTTTTTAGTGAGACCCGAGGAAAAAAATATTTCATGTTGTTGAGGACAGCTTGCCGTTTTTTTTTTAATATGAAAGGGGAAGGTTGACAGTAAGCAAATTTGGGGGGGGGTTTTTTGGGGTGATTATAAAAGATTTTTTTCCGGTTTGAAAACTTTTTTAAATCTTTTTACTCCCCCCCAGCTTTGGGAGATGTGGGGGAGTTTTAAACTAAAATTTAAATTTCGATAATCGGAAAAATTTTAGTTAAAGACAAGTTAAGGGCCCCGGTAGGGACGGTACTTTGAAAAAATGAAAACAACTGGAAACAAAAAAAGCTAGCAGTAAAAACAAACGCTGTGATATAAGCCCACGTTTAAACCCCTAATGTTTAAAGGGACTGAATTTTTATGGGTTTAAATTTTACACGGCCCAAAAAGTGTATGTTTACTTTTTTTCTGTCTCCGTGGGAACCAGAGTTTTAAATAAACAGATTCTTTTTATATTTTGCCCGGGAAAGGGCTAAACACAATCCCCCAGTCACCAAATTTTTTAAGTATTAAAATGTACACGCTATTACATTTTAATTGAGGGTTTAAATAGTTTAACCAGGGCGGGTTTCCTTTTTTTTAATTCAATCCTTTTAAAAAGGAATCCGGAAATCGGGTAGAATTTAAAATGAAAAGTGCGGGTTTATAAAGCCCCTATAAACCCGGGTTGGCCCCCCTACTATACATTTTTCAAGTGCCAAAATCCGATAAAAAACGCGATCATTGATCAACATAATATTAGTAACATATAGTGGACCCCTTATTCGGGAAAATATTTGTTTAAGTACGGGGGAAGTTTTTTGGGCCAAAAAATTGAGAATGGGTTTTTAAAAAAAATGTGTACCCGAG